GCTTCAAACTTAACGGCAGTGTAGGCTCTTGTGGTTGAAGGGTTGATTTTCTTTTGATTAATTTGAATACTTTACTCTTCCCCAACTCAGACTGTATAGAATTATAAAAATGAACAAATGACTGATGGAAATGGAAGGTCTTGCAGGTGGTGGGAAGATAATTTTTTTAGGACTAGCAAGACGACCTGGTAAAATGGTTCTTGTTGTTGTAACTAAGAATTCGTGTTTTGCAAAGACATGGAATGCTATTTCTGGTGGAAGGTTTTCTGTTTCCTAAGTTGCACCGAAGGATAATGAACTCTTGATTAGTTACAATCAAGGAATTGGCCACTCCTAGTGAAAATTAGGCAATTGTGTTGTCAATCATGTGTATGAGTTTTTAATATGGTTCTTTTAAGGATATAAGAATTTATTGAGAAAGACTGTAATAGCACCGTCTAGTCTACCTTTTATTTTGACTGAAACAATATTCGTTACAGCTGAAATTACTAGTAGAATTGAATCAATTGATAGTTCTTTTCTTTGGGAGCAGAATATGAACTTAAAAAGCCTGTTCGTTATAAGTTACTGTTCTACTTTCGTAAAACGATTGTCTTTATCAGCACATGAAGATTACTGTCCTAAGCCCACTCTTCATGTTGGCTAGTTTGACTTAGTGTTAATTGTTAGAATATAGGCATAGGGATATGTATCTTGAGGACAAGAATATTTCACTTCATACTGGACATGTACTTGGATTGTATGGTTAATGTGGTATTTGAAATTTTTATTCAGAAAAGAAAAAAACACAACGTGTTGATGTTGATGGATCAATGGCCTGTTGAAGAGAGGAGCGTCATGAGATAGCATTTTTGTTCCTCATAACTCTATTTAATGGATTAAATTAATACATGTCTCATGTTTCCTCTCTGAGGAAGATGAACTTTGTCTTTCATTTCTAAACTTCACATAAGAATAGATGTACACGAATTCATCCTAATTGGAAACTTTAGTGCTTGGGTCTTGGGTTACACATAAAAAGGATATTTGCCATAATCTCTGGATGCTTGGTAGTTAGCGCGCATACTAAGAAGAATTAGTGTTATGAGATCAGGTGTGAATTTAACATATATTCTCACTTATTCCAATAAGAAATAAATTTGGTATATAATATTATTTTATTAGTTGATATCATGAAGGCGCTCTTATATTTGTTCTTCATTGGATGTTGTAGATGGTGGCAAAACTTATTATCTTTTATTTTTTTTGTTTGACTCACTTGCCCTCTTCATTTGATCTCTACGAAAAATCTTTTCAACAATTTTTAGTTAGCTTCTAGAAATTCTCAAGGAATTTCATAGGATTTTTTTTTTTTTTTGGGTAATGTATTAGAATATTGATTGATTGGTTGATTGATATTAGAATGTGGTGAAGCATTAGTTTAACCACCTGGTCCCCCCTCCAGACTTGACGGTGGTCCTCCCTATGCCAACACGAGTTTATTTTTTCTTCATTGCGTTTTTGTCACTGATGTGCTTCCTAAATCCTAATTAACTTCCTTCCACGAGGCCACATGCCCCACATTACACCAAAGCTTAATCATGGAGTTTTTATGGATTGGTGTCGTAAAAGAAGATGCACTTTGTCTATATGACTTTTACTAATCAAGTCTTTTTAAGTGTTCCCAGTTTGTCGCATGTTACATGATATGACTGGCTATTACATTCTACACCCCTTAAATTTGGAACTTCCTCATTGCACAATCTGAAGATCATGTTGGGACTTCAAAAGGTTGGTTGGGACTCTATAGGTGGCTCCTATGGCGTAGAACTTAGCCTTGGATTTCTGTTTGGTGAACGACTCTAATACTATTCAGAAACCTCCTTGGTCCGCCTTTGATACTTTATGATTGTCCCTTCAGTACAATACGAGTCTTTTTAGTAGCTGTTGACGACTCTTTTTAGTCTTTTTAGTTGTCGCAGACAAATGCTACAAGTCTATCCAATGTGGCATTACTCTAGCCGGTGTTAATGTTGTTTCTCATTGCCACACATTCTTTTATATCTATGGGATTTCATGATGCTATTGGGAGTAAAAGTAATAAAATTGTTAATCATTAGAAATTAGCTTAGCTTAAGGATGACCATTACCACTGACTCAATTGTTAAGAACTTGAACGTCCATATAGGCAGGACTGAGCTGATTTATATGAGATTAATATGAAGAAGTTATGTGATTTTGGGCGTGGATTGGTTGGGTAAGAATTCGACCGATATATAATGTCGTCAATACGAGTTAATGATTAATTTGTTGTGTTAACTATACTATAGGCCTAACCCATATATACTAAATGCCCTAAGGTTATATATATGGGCATCTTCATATGTGAAAGATCATTCTCCGAAACCCTAAGGTTTGTAACATGACATTACAGCTAAACAACTAGGGTTTATATTTATTTAGCCATTCGGATCTCACCTCCCATACCAATAGCCTCGTCGCCGCCCTAAAACGACATGTCCATTAATGAGTACATTTGACTTTTGATCGTTTGATGGACCATTGATCTCAGTGGTGCCTCAATGCTCGGCGGAGAAGAGTTCAACACATAAGTTTGTTGAAAAGTTCTTTATTGTCGCTTTGTCGTGGGAGTCCGACAAGAATTTGAGTCTATTCGTGCACGGTTGCTTCATAACTCTTCTACTCTGACAACCATTATCTGATTTGAAGAGACTCATCTCCATTCTATGACATATACTCCTCCATCGGCATCGCATTGTGTCCAGCTCATCCTTTCAACGGCTTAGTGCACCTAGAAGTGGCTTTCTAGAATCTTGTAAGCATTGCGAGAATACAAATCATAGTGCCGAGAGTTGGTTTGAGCGTTTTGTTTCTGACATACGGGCTGCTTATTCATCTCTCTCCACGTGGGCGCACTTTACTTTTTTTTTTTTTTTTCAATATGTTACTAATATGTTGATTACATGAGAGGATGGTGAACATATTTCTCATGTCAAAAGCAACTTGGTCAGCAATTTCAAATGTTCGATTTGGGTGTTCTTTAATACTTTTTGGGCATTGAAGTGATGCATTTTGCCTCGGGCTATTACCTATCTGGTCCAAATACAAACAATACCTTCTTGTTCGACCTTGTTTGTTTTGGTATTACTATAATTGGACAACGACTACTTATATGGATCTTCACTTACAACTTCGTCTCACTGATGGTACGCCTCATGAGTGCTCCTACTTCAGTTCATTCTGGGCATTTGCTACGTATGCTACGGTATTTAAGGGGAACATAATCTCAGTGTTTGTTATATGCTGGTGATAGTCCACTTCAACTTCATGCTTACTCCGATTCTTTTTGGGAGAGTAATCTAACAGATTGTCGTTCTGGTTATTACATTTTTCTTGGTTTTTCTCCTCTTACATTGAAGTCCAAGAAGAAGGCATTTGTATCTCGGTCTAGCACAGAGGTAGAACTTCGAGCACTTGCTACTACCACTTCGAAATTATATGGTTTCAACAGTTGTTAGCTAATTTTGTTATTCAATGTGATGCTAGTATACACCTCTTCTAATGCGGGAGCCATCCAGATTATCACGTGACTCACAAATGTACAAGACACATTGGTGTTGCTTCCTTTACCAGGTCTCATTGTCATCAGAAAATAATTGTTCTTTAGTATGTAAACAATTGTTCTTTAGTATGTGCTGTCTGAGCTGAGAGCAATATCGGCTTCACTTGCTTAAACTCAATGCTTCGGATCCTCTAATTCCACTTTGAGTTTGAAGGGGGTGGTTAGATATTATTAGGCCCATCCCATATACATTAAAGGCCCTAAAGCTATATATATGGACATCTTCATATGTGAAATATTATTCATCCAAAACCCTAAGGGCTTGATTGTTAAATGAATAATTTGTTCAAAATGAGTTATTTTGGTTGACCATAGTTAATTTTGAAAAAGTGGTATGGTTAGTTGTTAGTGGAATTTTAAGAATGTTTGAAAATAATATTTAAAAGAAAATGATTAAAATTGATTTGATGTAAAAGTAAAAGATAAATGATTGAAAATAATAGGTAGTTAAAATTATGTGAGTGAATGAATAGTGAATTGAAGTTGATGTGATGTGTAAGAATGATTGGTTTGTATTATTTAATTATATGAATATTATAAAAAATAGTGGGGGTTGAGTTAAAATTGAGTTAGATTTTGAGTTAGAAAAAAAGTGAGTAAATTATTCCATATACAATCAAGCCCTAAGGTTTGTAATATGTTGTACGTTGTTATGGTCCAAGATTTGTCAGCAAATGCTAAAGTTCTGCCATTCAAAGTTTACCAGCGAAGATCAAAGAAGAATTAAGTTTAGATAATCCTATGTTATGATATTTTATTAATGTTTTAGTGTGGTTGTTAGTTTCTGCCAGGTGTTTATAAGGCAGAATATTATGCATATGTCTTGTGTAGGTTGTTGGCACTTGTTGGTTAGGTTTATATATTATGAATAATTCAAACTGCTAAAACTTAGGACCAGTTTAGAAGCAGTTTAGAAGCAGTTTAGAAGCAGTTATTTCTGTAAGTTTTAAGTACTGGTTTAAGAAATAAGAATGGGTGGAAAAATTCTGATAAAAGTTCTTGAGTCTTTTAACTCTTGGAGATCGTTGGGTTCTCTCTAACGAGCCCTAAAAGTATAATCAAAATAGGTTATAAGGGAAGAAAAACTCAAAATTCTAGTAATCAACAACCAGATTTCAGTGTTCAGGGTCCTATAACTAGATCCAGAGGGCCTGTTCATAACAAATTGGAGTCAGAGCCGGTGGTTATGGGAGATTTCCGTTCCTTTCAGCAACAATTTGAGACTTTCCTCAAGATGTATGAGGAAAATAGAGATCGAGATCGTCAGGAACGAGAGCAAGACCGTGCATTGATGGCAGCACAACAACAAGCACTAGCCGAACGATTAGATGAATTGTCACGGGAATTGTCCACGGGAAGGCCTGAAGGACGTGCTGAGGGAGGCGAAGGAAGTGTTAATAGAGGCCGACGTGAAAGGAGGACAATGGGAGAGACAACTGAAGCAGCCGCTTTTGTTCCTTAAGTATACAAAATTGGATTTCCCAAAATATAATGGTTCCATAGACCCCTTGGGTTGGATTAATAGGTGTGAGCATTTCATCAGACATCAAAATACTCCAGCAGAAGAAAA